GGCAGCCCAGTTAGGAGGCGGGGGGGGGGGGGGGGGGTCTCCATATCCCACCCGAGTCGGGGAATGGGTATTCTCGGGGAATGGGTGGAAGCTTCCGGGTTTGGGTCAAGTCCAGGGGAGGCACGATTTTTACCAACGCCGAGCCGAGCTGAATCGTGAATGCCCAAAGGATACGTCACGGCGGCCCAATGGATAAATTAAGGGGGGAGGTGCCACCGCGCTCGTCGTCACGCTGAATTCCCTCGGGGACTCCTCGCACTTGCACCCAATGACCGTGTATAAGGGCCTCCCGAACCTTCTTGGGAAAAAAGGGACCCTGGGTCCCCCCATCCTGCTCATTGCCATCTTTGCCCGTTGGGCGTGGGTGGTCGGCCTGTGCCCCCCACCACTCCGAACCCATCTTGAGCACGTGCTGGGCGGGACGCTGCAGCACCACCTGTCCACCTTCCACGCTGCACTCATCCTCTTTTGCGTGCTGCTCTCGGCGCACCTGATGCACTTCATGGCGAGCAATGTGCCAGGCGTCACGTGGCGCCTCTGGCTCGTCGCAAACCTCGGGCTCAACGGAATCTTTTTCATACTCGGGCTGCTGCCGTGCTCGGGCCTCTTCTTTGGTCCGTCGCGCCTCTCGCTCCTTCGAGCCGTGTGGGAGTCGATCATCGCGCCGTTTGGGCCGGTCACCTTTTGGCACGTCATCGTGGCCGACTACATGACGTCGCTCGCAAATGCCTTCTCCGACTTGCAGCTGGTCGCGTGCATCTCGCCCCACATCTTCCGCTCGGGCCTGGGCTCCGATGGGATCTACGTGCGCTCGACGGAGCTCTGGCACGACTTCTATCTCACTTGCGCCGACTCGTACGCCAACGCGATTGGCCTCGCGCTGCCTTTCTGGATCCGCCTCATGCAGTGCCTCAAGGTATACTCGACGACCAGAGAGGGCAAGAACCTCTGGAACGCGCTCAAGTATTCGACCTTCTTCCCGCTCGTTTACGCGGGCTACCTGCGCCGCCACGAGCCGTCGCACTTCCACGACCAGTGCTTCGTCGCGGCGGCAGTTGTGCAGTCGACCTACTGCTTCATCTGGGACGTCCACATGGACTGGGGATTGTTCTGGCTGGCCGAGCTGCGCGGCGACTCGGCCGAGGGCTACGCGTGCTGCGGCGGCAAGCCCGTCGTTGCCAGGATACGCGAGCCGCTCCTCATCTCGCAGAGTGTTCTCGCGCATCTGGCCCTCTGCGCCTTCGACCTCGCTTTGCGCTTCATCTGGGCGCTGTCCGTCTTCGGAGGCGTGCCCGGCCGAGGCGCCGGCATGCTCTTCTTCGAGCTCGTCGAGATTCTGCGGCGCACGGTATGGGCCGTCTTCCGCATCGAGTGGGAGGTCATCGCCAAGGTCATCTACCCGTCGGGCACCCACAAGCCGGTCAACATGAACACGCGCCGAG